TGATCTGTACTTTCCTTGTTGCTTAACATGATTAAATATAAAAAGCATAAAGTTGACAGACTGAACAGTCAGTGTGTGTGTGTGTGTGTGTGTGTGTGTGTGTGTGTGTGAACTACTGTTGGCCCTGGGAGTTAAATTCTAAACCAGAAACTTTGCATCTGTTGGCTAGAATTCTGCATGAGGAGCGTGTTTAAATATTGCACTTGGACAATGGGTTCCAACACCCCAAAGGGAAGATGCCAGATACAAGGTTTGCATCCTGAGAGCATGCATAAGGAACCTAGTTGGAATGCTGGCTGAAATGCATTCAGGTTCCACTAGCATAAAAACACACTAGGGAATCCAAAACATGAAGGCTTGGACTCCCCTCATGGCAGTGAGTGGCCAGGATGGGGCACTTGCTAGGATCTGTAAAAACAAGCACTTCCAAAAGTGTATTGAAATGACGAATTTCAATTAGTTGGTAGATGTAAAACTTCTGATAGTGATGCCCCCATACAGCTGTGATAATTACACACAAAGGCCCAAGGAGGGGCCATCAGTGGGATAGATTAGTCTAGAAAGGAAAGAACAATCAGTTTCACACATAGAGAATGGGAAGTGACTGTCTAGTAAGGAGTACGGCAGAAAGGGATCTAGGGGTTATAGTGGACCACAAGCTGAATATTAGTCAGCAGTGTGATGCTGTTGCAAAAAAAGCAAACATGATTCTGGGATGCATTAACAGGTGTGTTGTCAGCAAGACACGAGAAGTCATTCTTCCACTCTACTCTGCACTGGTTAGGCTTCAGTTGGAGTATTGTGTCCAGTTCTGGGCACCACATTTCAAGATATGAAGAAATTGGAGAGGGTCCAGAGAAGAGCAACACGAATGATTAAAGGTCTAGAGAACATGACCTATGAAGGAAGGCTGAAAGAACTGGGTTTGTTTAGTTTAGAAAAGAGAATATTGAGGGGGAACAAGATAGCAGTTTTCAGGTATCTAAAAGGGTGTCATAAGGAGGAGGGAGAAAACTTGTTCATCTTGGCCTCTGAGGATAGAACAAGCAATGGGCTTAAACTGCAGCAAGGGAGGTTTAGGTTGGACATTAGGGAAAAGTTCCTAACTGTCAGGGTAGTCAAACACTAGAATAAATTGCCCAGGGAGGTGGTGGAATCTCCATCTGTGGAGATATTTAAGAGTAGGTTAAAAAATGTCTGTCTATCAGGGATGGTCTAGACAGTATTTGGTCCTGCCATGAGGACAGGTATCTGGACTTGATGACCTCTCGAGGTCCCTTCCAGTCCTAGTATTCTATGATTCTATGAAAGGAAATCATCTGGTAACAAATTTGTTTTCCATTCTAGTTTCTGGCCTGTTCCCTGGGGGAGTCATCTGGGACATAGTGAAGAGCAGGGAAAATTACACAGAAGAAAAGATATGTAGGGAAGAAAACAGGTTTCTTCTTCCCTAAAATTAGCACACCTAGAGCTACTTTCTGCCCAAGAATGAGACTAGAAAATTAAAGATGAAGCTCAAAGTGTTTTCTAAAAGTTGAATGAGCTAGTATCTGGATTGTGGAGGAAAGATCTTACATTACTAGGGCTTCAAGTGGATAAGTCTGTCAACTGAGGGACTACATCACTCTAGATGGTTGCTTTACTTCCCTTTCCACCTCTTGTTGATAAAGATTCAAAGCCTCTAAAATTAATCTCTGAAGCTCTTTTGTGCATTAACATCCATATAAGAATCTCCATGCAAGACTTTAGAAGATGTGTTTAAAGATGCCTTAATGACTCTTAGTTCTGAACCACCTTAAACAGTGCTTGTGTGCTACCAAAATGCATAAGGAAGACTGGCTCTCTTTGTAGGTCTCTCAACCCCCATACTGGCAATCTTCCAAGAGGGGATTAGGGAATGCTTTATATTACAAACTTGTTTGTCCATAGCATTGAAAGACTCAGGAGTTCCTTTACATGAGGTCCCTTATGCTGACAGTCTATTGAATACACCATCAATGGATACATTTCTAGACTCCTCAATGGCTAGTATCACTGCTGCTTCTTTCATAGACACTCTCGGGGATTAAATGTTTTGTGTTGGTGACTGCCAGGAAGAAGGCCTGATAGTAACATGCAGACAAGTGCCTGCCAGTTCCACCAATATCAGAAGAACAATTCAAGAGTCTGCTGAATCCTGGAAGTTAAATTCTCCATCCTGAATATCTTCTTCTTTCATCAACTTGTTCGTCCTTTTGAGATCTTAGACGTACCAAACTCTTCCTGATCTTTTTCTTACTAGATGACATAGACTCCTGTGTACCTTTTGTCTTGAGGGACAGATTCAGCTACCCACTAGTCCTAGAAGCTATTAAAGTCTTTCAAAATTATTTGAATTTTTTCCTTTTTTTCTTCCCAAAGATTGTGTAAGAACCTATGTTTTCACAGTTTATTACCCTATCCCCAGAGCTCAAATGTCTGAAGTTACCAGGACTCATAGGCTTGGGAAGGAATATTCTGCCCTCCAATGCTACTCCTGGATGAAGGCACGTCCAACCCGCAGTTTGGAATAGAAGGTGGGATTGGTCCTGGGTGTCGTCTTTCTCCTGCTGAGTCCCTCTTCTGGTACTTAGTGGTGAACAGGAATTTCTACCCTTCTACACAGGGCTCCCCCTAATCTGTGTGTCTGCCTTGTGTTGGAATATGCCATACCCAGAGCAGTACCTATTCCTCCCCAAGAAGCATCTGTCTCCTGGCTGCTAGTGTAAGACTCCACAGTCCTGTTGCTGCTGCTTCTAGTGGTCAAATGAATTGTGAAGATTCTGGCAGGCACTATTTCTCAGAGCTAGAGAGAGAGAAATAAAGCTCACAGCCTCCACACTCCCAAGTCTGAAAAGCCGCAGAGCTGGGACACATGTAAAAATCTTAGGAGAGCAGCAAGAACAGGAGCAACAGCATGAAGGTCCCACAAAAAGATGATGGGCTGAGCACAGCTATAATTTAAATTAATTGCTCCTTGCCCCACAAAATCTTTTGTGAGAGGAATGGCAGCAATTGATTTTGAAGAGGATAAAAAAGGGAGAAGAATAAGGGAGAGTAAGATTATGATTGCACATGTAAAAATCTTAGGAGAGCAGCAAGAACAGGAGCAACAGCATGAAGGTCCCACAAAAAGATGATGGGCTGAGCACAGCTATAATTTAAATTAATTGCTCCTTGCCCCACAAAATCTTTTGTGAGAGGAATGGCAGCAATTGATTTTGAAGAGGATAAAAAAGGGAGAAGAATAAGGGAGAGTAAGATTATGATTGAAAGGACATAGGGAAAATAAGAAGAGAGGTTTTCTACAAGCCACATACTTGTACATAGATCCTTCCTGTAAAACAGGGTGGGGAAGGCTGTATTCTGTGTCTCCCCTATCCTGCAACCACTTGTTCTGCCATTAACCAGGGAAGAGTCTCCCCAGCCGAAACTCTCACTTTTGTCCCTTGGTCTTCAGATTGCTCCATCAGACCTATTCTACCAGGAGGAGGGCAAGGTAAACAGAGGGAAAGACCTCTGCAGATATCCCCATTAAAGAATCCAACCCAGACAAATCTTTGTGCCCAGAGGGACAGCAGAGAGAAGGAAAAGAAAGATCTTGCTTGCAGTAATTCTAAATGGAGTTATGAAAACAAGGCTGTCACTGGATAAGCCAGGAGAACTGAGTCACTGTTCTGTTTGCACTGCTAGACAAAGAATTGGGTGTGAGAACAGAAAGGGTATTTTGACTCATGCCAAGTCAGAAGTGCCCCCTGCTACTTGTACACTGGGTGAGAGATGAAGATCCAGAATTTTATGTTTCTCAGAATGAAAATAAGTTTTGCAAGGTACACATAGGCTGGATATACATAGATGAGGTACACTAGTACTACACAATGTATGAGATACTATATGGATAAATCAGTATGCTTGATATTGTGGTTATGTTTGCATATATAGTTTGTGTTTATATCGATAAAGCAGTATGTTTTATATTGCATGTATGGCACAATATAGAACATACGGCTGTATCTACTGGAGCAGATCCAGAATTCAACACTTCAGTTCTATGAAGTTGGAATAACGCACGACAGTCAAGAGTGCCATTTGGAGAGGGCAGGGGGTGCTAAAGACCCTTGTGCCAGGATGCTGTTTACTGTTTTTCCTCTTCTCCTGATGATCAGAGAATGAGAGGAAGGTAAACAGCTTGTGTGCATTCCTCTCACTCCTGGCTGGTGAGATGGGGAGCAGAGGGGTAAGTGATGAAAACTGTATACTTTCCCCTTGCTCCCTGAGGGGAAGGAGAGCAAGCAGTGTCCCAGTATGACGGGCTTTAGTACCCCGCTCTCCCGAGCTGCCCAAAAGGCACATTTGACAGCAGATCCTATTAAAATGGCGAATAACTAGTATATTATATAACATATGATTTCTTAGCCAATTATTGCAATTAAAATCCAGAAGTACATGGTACACTGAGTTTATTTAGTAAATTGTTATTAATACCCACAAATCTAAAATTATACAAACATTTATTTTTAAATCGAGGGCTTAGTCTAGATGTGCTTTTTCCTTAAATTATTAATACATTTACATTAAATAGGCAATGGTCATAATTTAAAAATTATAGCTTAGAATTCCTGTTAATTTACTGTTACTAAAACTTTGAAACTACTACCTAAGGTAGAACTAGATTAGTAAGGTATGCTTTTTTAATGTTTTTTTCAACTAACCTCAAAGCATACCACTGATATTTGAACCCTCTTCTCCTCCTCCCCCCCCCCCCCCAAAAAAAAAGGCTTTCAGCAGTGGCACTTAGCTTCCAAAATTATTCATGTCAATAATATCTGCATTAGGTTGGGCAGGTTTCCTTGTGTTCTTAGTAACACAATATTACAGCTCTATTTAAAACTATAAACAGGCATGGCTCAGAGCTTGAATTTGATACCTGGGCATTTAAACCATTGATCAAAACAAAGACTTGGTATAATTTCTAATCTTACCTTTATATTTAATTTAATTTCATGTTGTTCATCAATTTCACCACTTTTAACTAAAATGTTTTCCAGTTTTAGATCTCTATGAACAATATCTGTCAAGTAAGAGAACAATAAATATAAATGTTTTTCTCTTGTAGTCAAAATATTCTGACAAATGTTTTCTCATGGAAATTACATATTCAAATCAGTTTCAATATCAATGCATTTAGTCCTTTGATCCAAGGAGTCTTATATGAAGATTCCAAAACTGGATCAAATTTGGATCCATCATCCTGGTGATCTGTACTAAGAAAAACAGTTTGCATTGCTCTGATTGTATAGTAGAAGACCTGTGAATATTTTGTAGAAAAAAACCAGAGGATTATAGATTTACAAAATGTGCATATATTTTCACAAGTCTAGTCTCATCTCAAATCCAACAGACTAAAGGGGATGGGACTGTAGACTGCTTTTCCCCCTTTCTCTGCCTACGAAAAATAGAGAGAAGACCAAAGCCATACTTGCCTTAAAGAAGGGGCCATTCCACAGACAAGGAAACATATGTCTGGGTGGGACAGAAAGAGGAGCTGCTAATTCCTCCAACTAATTCCAAAATATAGAGATGAATACGTTTTTCTGTTATTCAAATACAAATCTTCACACTCCTACCATGTAGGGGAAAATAACTGGATACACTGAACTCTAGTTTTCTGGCTGAATTTGTTAACTCTGTCATGCGCTGCACAGGGTTTTAACACTTCCCTGGTGTGAATGAAAATGCTGATGTAGACTGCATACCACTAAGTGGAGGACAGACAATTAAGGAATATCTGGAGCACTACATGCCTGTTTCTTTCTCTTCTCTGTAATAGGCTATTTACTTAGCTGCTGAAATAAGCTGTAATGCAAAGTGGTGGAGACTTAAGAAGAAATTCATGTTATTGTCAGATAAATGATGCAGGAACAAAGAAGTAAAAGGAAATGTTAATTTAAATAGTGGGGGAAAGCACTAATGTACCACATTTCACTTTTTGGCCACACGGACAACAGTACACTAGTAAATAAAATATATAAACAAAGATCACTATTGCTCTTAAACAAACAAAATGACATTCAGAGCCAATGAATAAATGCAAGAAATGTACATCCTTGCCTTTTTTGTGAAGATAAGCTATTGCTGATGCAAGGCTTTGAATTATATGCCTTGTCTCATTCTCTGTAAAACGTCCCTTCTTGCGAAGAATTTCTTTAAGTTCTCCGTCCTCGCACAGCTCCATTACAAGGAACATCCGCTAACATTAATAAAGAACCAAAATAGTGATTTCCCCTTTTATATACAATTATTTTAGTACTCAAAATATTCAAATTCTCATATTTTCAAAAACATGTACAATAAATTAAAAATTTGATTTTAAAGGTTATTCTAAGTGTGCTTCATCCAACACATTGTTAACATATTAAAAAAAGAGAATCCTATAGAAGCATCATTAAATCTAAAGATACATATGATATTCTTCAATGAACTATAAATAAAGGTATAATACACATTACATAAACAACCTTTGACTATTAAATAGAAGATAGAATATATTATTACAGCTCATCAAAAATGATCTGTGCCACTGTAATGGACATCATTCAGTGGCATCATTACAACGTCCTTGAGCTCTGTACTCTCCAACACACCAACAACCCCCTTTTACAAACTGTATAGTAAACAACTAAGAAAATGACATTAATTCGCTTTCAAAAAAACTTCAGTCAAGCTCTGGTCCTGTGTTCCTTGTAAGTTGTGCGCTTGTACAGTCACTCTGGAGAGATTCAAATGCTGCCCACTTGATTAGCAGAGTGCCCACAGGTAGTTTTTTTTTTTTGTGATCGTGCACATAAATTATACTGCACACAGATGGAAAAAAATAGAGGGAACATTGCTCTGGTCTTCCAGCCATGTCTGAGTAAACAGGACAAACCAAAACTGAAAGCCAGCTTCTGGCTGAGTGTTTTCTGCTTGTAAAAAGTGGCAGGATCACCATGGCCAAGCCCATGCTAGCCAAAAAGAAGAGTTGTTTTCTCTTACTGGAAACAGGCACCTAAGTATGTAGAGCAAGTAAGCTAGTTCCTTTAAAATGGAAGTGATATCACCAGAAGTTTTGGTTATATTTTCAACTGCTGGCAGAAGGATTGAAATTTACTGCCTAGAATAGCCTAGAAAGTACTTAGGAAAAATTAAAATACAAATTTCTCCACAATTTTCTAGTCACCACTCGTGAGCAGAAACATTCTGTAAGAGAGGGAAGTGTACCAGAAGCCAAGAGGAATTACCTCAGAATGCAGAAAAGAAGGCTTCTACAGATCTTTTTACTTTTCGTTAAATATTAATAGCATTCATGGTATTGCAGGTAAAGAACCCTTACCTTAGGGGTCTCAAACACTTCTTCTAAATGTATTATATGCTCATGGTTCACTCTTTTTAAGATGCTCACCTCCCGTTCAAGTAGCTTCACAGCAGAGCTTCCAGCCTTAATTATTGATGGAAAATGCATAAGAAAACATAACAATATTCATGATATGACCGTATATATTCCACAATGGCAATTTCTGTTAACAATATGTAGCGAATGTGTTAACAAAAATTAATAGGTCTTACATTTAGAAAAAGAGTTACAAAAATAACTGCAATATAACTTTGGGGTTGATACCATTATAGTTTCGCTTTTTTGATTAATAATAGCTTCTATTTATATGTAGTCACTCCATTATAAACGTTTCCGAAGCACCACATAACATTGTGTGAACATGTGAATACATGTAAGAAAGAAAACAGTGATTAATTACTTTCCCTAAGATGGAAAAAATTGGAAAACACACGTGTGTGAGAAACACAAAAAGGAATTACTTGAGTTAACATGGAAAGAACATGGCCCCTGTTTAACACTTACAGCAATGCTACACAAACACTCAGGACAGAAAATTAAGAAGGATAGCAGGGGAATGGAGATAAACAAAATGAAAACTCTTCATGCCAGTCTAGACACAGCCATCCTGTTTAGATAATAACTTTTGGGCTTAGAAGTGGTCTCTTATATAGGGTTTGACTGAGCAATATTTACCCACACTGGTGAACTTTTACTTGCACAAGTCGCCTGATTGGAAACTGGAACTTCAATGGGGCAACATAGCTAAGTGCTCTGCAGTGCAAGAAAAAATGGTACCACCTGACCTTTGAAGTGTAATGCACTTTTTGAATTCATCTTTTTAACTAGCCAGTTATGTTTAGTCAAGGTTTAAATAACAGGCTAAATATTATTTGAACTGAATTTGCCAGGCTGCAACTCCACAGATATTATGAACATTACAGATATTTAGGGTAAGTCCGTACTGCAGTTAAAATGCCCTGGCTGGCCTGTGCCAGCTTATTCAGGCTTGCCAGGTTTAACTGCCATGTGGAGGTTCCAACCTGAGCACTAGGACCTATGAAATGGGAGAGTGCCACAGCTGGGCTGCAGCCTGAGCCTAAACAAAGCTCCCCACAATTAAACAGCCTACTGAGCCTAAACCCTGGGAGCTGGCATGGGCAAGCTAGGGGGTTTTAATTGCACTACAGACATTACCTTATGGTGAATTTGTCCCAGAGATATTTTCAAATGCTTGAACCCCCCCTCCAATCAGATTTGTATCAAGGTGTAAATGGAAGGCCCTATAGAACCCAGACCTCCAGAGCTACCAGATAGTTGGCATCTGCAGGCTGCCTCCCAGCAGCAGCTGTAGCCAACTTGCACCCTGTTTCTCATCACTTGCTGTGAGGAAGTTCCACCTCAAGGGGGTGATGGTTACCACATGGCTCCAAATTGATATCCTCCCCTATACAAAATCAGGAGGTGTTCCAGTAAGTCTCCAGGCAACAGCAGAGCTCTCCTGTAGTTACTACAACTATTCCTTTTCCTTGCGCCTGAACTCCTGGCTGGAACTTGGCTTGATGTGGATGTCACCTCCTCACTCAAAGCCTGAAGCCTCGGAGGCTGCCCCTGGGAACCCAGCTACAAACTCCCAAGTTACTCCCGACCTCAGATTTGACCCTGCTCTGACCAGTGTTCCCTGTAAGCTGAGTGCTTGGGCAGCCACCCCAGAGAGATTCAAATGCTGCCCACTTGATTAGCAGAGTGCCCACAGGTAGTTTTTTTTTTTTGTGATCGTGCACATAAATTATATGCACACAGATGGAAAAAAATAGAGGGAACATTGCTCTGGTCTTCCAGCCATGTCTGAGTAAACAGGACAAACCAAAACTGAAAGCCAGCTTCTGGCTGAGTGTTTTCTGCTTGTAAAAAGTGGCAGGATCACCATGGCCAAGCCCATGCTAGCCAAAAAGAAGAGTTGTTTTCTCTTACTGGAAACAGGCACCTAAGTATGTAGAGCAAGTAAGCTAGTTCCTTTAAAATGGAAGTGATATCACCAGAAGTTTTGGTTATATTTTCAACTGCTGGCAGAAGGATTGAAATTTACTGCCTAGAATAGCCTAGAAAGTACTTAGGAAAAATTAAAATACAAATTTCTCCACAATTTTCTAGTCACCACTCGTGAGCAGAAACATTCTGTAAGAGAGGGAAGTGTACCAGAAGCCAAGAGGAATTACCTCAGAATGCAGAAAAGAAGGCTTCTACAGATCTTTTTACTTTTCATTAAATATTAATAGCATTCATGGTATTGCAGGTAAAGAACCCTTACCTTAGGGGTCTCAAACACTTCTTCTAAATGTATTATATGCTCATGGTTCACTCTTTTTAAGATGCTCACCTCCCGTTCAAGTAGCTTCACAGCAGAGCTTCCAGCCTTAATTATTGATGGAAAATGCATAAGAAAACATAACAATATTCATGATATGACCGTATATATTCCACAATGGCAATTTCTGTTAACAATATGTAGCGAATGTGTTAACAAAAATTAATAGGTCTTACATTTAGAAAAAGAGTTACAAAAATAACTGCAATATAACTTTGGGGTTGATACCATTATAGTTTCGCTTTTTTGATTAATAATAGCTTCTATTTATATGTAGTCACTCCATTATAAACGTTTCCGAAGCACCACATAACATTGTGTGAACATGTGAATACATGTAAGAAAGAAAACAGTGATTAATTACTTTCCCTAAGATGGAAAAAATTGGAAAACACACGTGTGTGAGAAACACAAAAAGGAATTACTTGAGTTAACATGGAAAGAACATGGCCCCTGTTTAACACTTACAGCAATGCTACACAAACACTCAGGACAGAAAATTAAGAAGGATAGCAGGGGAATGGAGATAAACAAAATGTAATTACTCAAGTTGGAAGCTGGCCAGCTCAATGGAGCTACCACCTCTAATCCTGTGAACATTTGCATGGGGATCTCAACTGAACACAAATAATTTTTGTCTTGTTCATTAGAAAGTACTAGACAGAACACCACACTGGGCTTTGGCTTTGTACTCTTCCATCCAACTTGATACTACCTACTCGTCTTGGAGGTTTCCCATCCAAATATGATCAAACACAAGCTTACTATTTTTGTCATATGATGAGACATGATTATAAGAATTATTTTCCTAACTTGTTTGCACTAACTTAATTAAGGAGAATTAATCAGTCAGTTTAGCAATTTGATAATGGTAAAACTATGAGCAATAACACAATAGCTCTAAATCTGGATCAGCTAGCAGCCTGTTACACACCAAAATAACAGGGGCTGCTAATATTTAAATTTTAGAAGTATTGCACCTTATTCAGCTATATAACAGTCTACCGCTGGCTGAAATCTGGCATCAAAGCTCAAACCATGTTCACATAATTTTGAAACTAAACTATTGTTTTATTTTGGATTTTTAAAAATTCTTTGGCAAAAAAGAAATAAACTTTAAACGGCTTTCACTTAACATGCAACAATCTCTTAATAGAGTTGAATAATTAAAGGTCTGATCCAGCAAATTTTTTCTTCAATTGTGATTTCATGTAGGAGTAAGAATCCCAAATTACATTTTATATTACATTTTTAATATTTAAAATTTGATGTGACTCATACTTTCTGCTACAAGGAAGAGACGGTGAGAATATCAACTAAACAGTAAGAATAAATACACGTGTGACGGGTTCCCCTGGGTTGCCACTTGGACCTGGGGTACCACTAGCAGAGCCAACAGCCTCTGTGGGCCTCGGGGAAAGGTCGGGGGCAGCTCTGCACTCCCGGAAGGGGTGGGACCAGTGCTTCCCCCAGTTCAGTCTTTGTTGCTAAGGTGTTTTTAGGAGCTTTCTTCGGTGGATGTCAGTGAAGAACCAAGACCATATTACCCCCCTGCCTTATGTAGCTTTTGCACATGGTGAGAACCCTTTATTTCAAAGCTTGGTTCCCATGCTGGTCAGTGGAAAAATACTGACATACCAAAATGGAGTCCAGCACCGGTCCTTGTAGTGTCACAGCAGCCATTATTCAGAGACAGTATGGAGAATCTTCAGGAAGACTCCCCAGGTGGAACATGAGTTTCTCCTAAGGCTTACTATTCCCTGATGGTCCTTACCTGCCCGCTATCTAGGCTGAAAGCATCTTGTATAGTGGGCATTTCCCAGATGTAAGCACATTTGAAATACAGATACTTTGTATCTGAAGTTAGGAATACTGGCCATGTGACACATGGATACAAATATTCAGCAAATCACAACCTTTCCAATGACACCTCATGCGACTTATCTTGCATAAAATACATCCTAATTAAGATACGATTATATCATATTAACTTCACTATGAAGAATATGCAGTACAGTGTCACAATATGCAATGATTGCAATTGGCATTTGGATACACAACAATAGTGAGGAGATGCACAAAAATACTGCAGAAACAGATTTGGATAGAAAAATCAAAGGAAAAGTAAGAAAGGTTTAAAATAAGTCACAGATCTACATATTTACCTTTTCCCTATTAACTTTTTTGATCGCCCATTTTTTGCCGGTTTCCTTGTGTTTTACTTCAATTACCACCCCAAAGCTGCCTTGTCCCAATTTTCTTCCAAAATAATAGATTTGCTAATAAAACAGAGACCAGAAAAAGAGGTTTTGTTTTAAAAATCTTTGGTGGAAGAATACAGCTATCACTGTTAAAAATATCTGGGTTTGAAGGTTTAAAAGATCTGTTCAACAAATAATGAACCCTATTCAGATACACCAAAATTAAAAGTTACATTCATTTTTAAGAGAACACGTGGTTCGTTTTCAGTGGCAGTTGATATAAAAAGCTAAACCTGTGAAGAGTTATATAAATATCAGTAAGAATTCTCCATCTGAAAATTTTGTGGGCAAATCAATAAAGAATTTTGTTTCATCATCTAACTATTTATTATTCTACAAATTAGGATGCCAGATGCTGACCACAGTTCCAAATGAATAATGTAAGTTAAAACATAAACATGCGGACCTAACAAGGCAAGACTCCCAGCATGTTCAATGGTAGTTTAGCCTTAGAACAGCAAATATGTTGTGAAAGAAAATACATATAAGTCACAATTCTTCTATACTGACAGTAGTTAACAAGAGGCAAACTCAAACTTCCTATGAAACTGTGATTTGTAAATCTATATGTACATGATAGGCTATCAATGACTGCAATAGGCATTCAATCAGAGTCTTTCAACTGACTTTAATGCCCTCCGGCTCAAGTTCTTAATAATTTGAGAGTTTAAACTTTTTTTTCTTTTAAACAAAAGCTTAGAATCTTTAAAGGTGACCAGCAAAGAAAACTACTGGGTTGCTGCTCCAGTTTTCTTTTTACTCCAAAGACATTTCTAATGTACTTATGTTAATTTTAACATATTTCCAAAAAATAACAGATGCAAATACAAGAGAGAACAATGTCTGTTGTGAACACTGTACTGACTTCTCAGCACACCTTTGGATGGATCTTTGGGTTAACTTCTCTTCACTAGCATGTAGCCCCAATCAATGAACTGTATATTTGAGTATGTTCTTTCATGTGTCGGGGGAAGAAGAGGAGTGTTCTCCCAGTTAAGAATAATATCTCTGCTGTAACAAATTAAAGTCCTGAAACACAGGATGGATTTCAAATGAAGTGCTGCACATTGATCATTTTAAAGCACTGATTTATGCACCTTTCAAGCAACATTCATGAAGAAAAACAAATCTTTATTAACCAAGCATTTTGAAATCAGGTGGCTCACAAGGTATTCTCTATTAGGTCTGAGATAAATGAGCACAAAGAACGGGATTCTAAAATATCTGGAATACCCCTTTTCTTGGTACTTTAAAAAAAAGTGTAAGCCTATCATTTAAACAAGAGATGAATGTTATTTTGGGGTGTTTTTGTATTTGCCTTTTCAAAACAAGAGGAGGTGTGGGGGGGGTGTTTTGGTTTTGGGGGATTTGTTTGTTTGTTTTTGTATTTGCCTTTTCAAAAGGTCTCGGAGCTCTACTGTGGTAGCAGGGATTGGGAAACAATCTGGGCTCCCAAAAAAAAGAATCTGGCTACTGGTTAGCTAAATATAGTAAACAGGAACCTTAAGACAGACAATCATGACTCCGATTCCTTTGAATGAACAATAGCTACAATCCATTTTAGGAAGAAGACGCTGAAAGATCAAAATGTTCTGGGGGGAGGGTGTGTTTAGATTCCAAGAAACAACTGAATGTTATATAAACAAAGCTAAATGTCTCTATCTACTGAGGCAGAACAGTTAAATCTTAGGATCCACAGGATATTAATGATAAAAGTGGCTACATACCTGAATAGCAGCTCCATCATCTATTCGTGTGTGACGAACTTTGTTTTCTGCGCTACTGTTGCGAGTTGACTGGGGGAGCATTTTTTTGTACGAGTCTACTAGTTCTGATTTTGGCATCTTTGTACAAAAAATATGAAGCATAAAATTAAACTAGAATTCACTAATTTTTAAAATTCTTAGCTTATTTCTGGCATTTCAGTATACCTCCTATTGTCAGATACATAATATACTAAATCACAGAGTTTAAAAGATGGACAAGATTTATAAAACATGAATTTAAAATAAATTACAGGATTCCACATCACCTAAAATTAATAGTCAATAAATTGAAGATGGCAAAAATATCCATATAGGATTATGTAAAAACCAAGAATGTTTTGTCTTTTTTAGATCTCGAGTGCTTGCATACATTAAGGCAGAATATAGCCCATTGTAACAGAACTATTTCATTAAACAGCAGATTTGTACCTGCTTAACAAAGGTACATATTTAATAACCATATTTAATAACATGGCATCTTTATACATAATTCACTCGTATTTTCAAAGTAGTACCAATAGACTATGGAAATATCACATGGTGCTACACTGCCAATTTTAAGGTGTGTTTACGAATTTCACACACAAAGATGCTCAAAGAATTTTAAATAACTGGGTTTTTGTCAGAAAATAAAGATGTGTTGAAAACAAACTTTTTGTGAGAACGTACCCATTTCATTAGGTTTTGCAGGTTCTGGATGAACTTTATAGCCAAAGCCAAAAGGAAGTTTGGTGGTAGGGAGTGAAAAAATGATTCAGGAACTCACATAGGACCCAGCTTGAATCCATGGTCTATTGTGAGTGGATTTCTCAATCTCTCCTGATAGAGTTATTCCACTGACTATAGTCCAGTGCTTAGAGCACTAACGTGGGATGTAGTAAATTTGGGTTTAAGTTCCTGTTTCAATAAATATTTAATTATTTTTACAAAAGTAGAACAGCTCCAACAGGAGTGACTGAGACAGATCCACCTCAGAAAACCAAATAGTCTAGTGGATAGGTATACATCTAGGATATGGAAGATTGACACTCCAGTCCCTGGTCTGAATCAGCAAATTCCTGGATGGTACACTTTCGCTTCTTTGAAAAAAAAATCAAAGGACAGGAAAATTTCTGAAATCTCAAAGAGTCAATGTGATGAGTAAAACATTTCCTTTCCAATTCTAGATCCTATCAGTTTGAGTCTCAATCTTTCAATTTTTTGGATGGTAGAATAAAGAAGTCCACATTTAAATCTTTTGTGAAGGTGAAGGTAAATGTTATAGCCATTATAGGTAAACATATACAGCCATTTTGGCCATTATAGCCAAAATTAATGACTGAGGCCCATCGAGCAAAAGCACTTAAGTTCTTAGCTTTAGACATGTATTGATGTTAATCATACTACTCACATCTTTGAAGATAAGCACATTGGGTACGTCTGCACTAGGCCCGTAGATCAACCTAGGGAGGCTAATGAGGGCAACCGGAATTGCAAATCAAGCCTGGGATTTAAATATCCTGCACTTGATTTGCATGTTCCCGGCTGGTCGCCATTTTAGAAATTGACGAGCCCGAAGTAACTGCCCACGTCTACATGCAGCAATGAAATGGGATTCCGGAATAAAGCCCCTAAATCGAATTAGGTGGTAAACCTCATTCCACGAGGAATACCACCTAATTCGATTTAGGGCTTTATTCCGGAATCCCATTTCACTGCCATGTGTAGACATGGGCAGTTACTTGGGCTAGTCAATTTCTAAAATGGCGACCAGCCGGGAACATGCAAATCAAGTGCGGGATATTTAAATCCCAGGCTTGATTTGCAATTCTGGTCGCCCTCATTAGCCTCCCTAGATTGATCTAGGGGGCTAGTGTTGATGTACCCTTACTCATTTGCACAAAATTAAACATGTGCGTATGTGCTTTACTAAAATGGGACCTGTGTGAAAGGAATGTAATTGTATTTAGAAATGAGTGTGTGTTGGGGACACAAAAACTCACATAGAGCTGGTAAATGAATAATCATAAGAGAGCAGAAACGCAATAAAGAATAATACTGGTCTTTGTATGACTAGTCCAACAAATGCCCTTGACTTTCTTAGTTACAGACTGACCTACAGAAACAGCTTCAAGGCATTTGTTTTACCCGCATACGAAGGTGATGGCCACCATATAAACATTTGTCTCTATATATAGTTTAGAGTGTGTCTGTCCGTTTGTTCAACAACTCCTTCAAAACCATAAATGAACTAGGACCACAAAATTCGGAATGCAGCTTCCTCTTCCTCTAACTTAAACCAAGGTCAGGGTTTGGTTGTGCCTGGAAAGCGGGAAGTGCTGGGAATGAGACTATTTCCCATAACATGAAATGGGAGGGGGCAGAGAGCGGAGGGATGTGATACTGAGAGTTGCCACTGGGGTAGTTGCAGCACCAAGAGAGTGGCCAGAAGCCCTGGGACTCCACCATCTTGCCTGTCAGCACACCAGTAAGGATTCCCCCCCCCAACCCAACCCTGGAGCCTGCCCACCCATGGAGAAACTGCAGCTGCAAGGGAGAGGGGAGTGTCGCTGCAGGACGCGGCAGCCCCCAGAGACTCACCCCAAGACAGCTTGCAGGCAGGGGGGGAGGGGACAGCTTCCAGAGCCTGGTTCCCACCAGACAGCCTGCAGGTGGCAGGGGAGGACAACTGTGAGAGGGTGCTGGCAGGGAAGTGCTGTCCCAACCCCCTTGGGAGGAGTTGCCACCAGAGCAGCACCACCCTCACCACCATGGGCGGTCCCGGTAAGCCCTCCACCTTCCTGTCCTGAGTTCTGCACTTCCTATCTGCCTTGACTTCAGCAACTCCTCCCACTGCTATGAGACCCCTCACACCTCCCAATCTTCTACCCTAAGCCACCTACCTCCTGCCCCCTTCACTCTAAACTCTCACTCCAGCCTTCATTTTCAAAAAATACAATAACTGAAACAACACATATATATTTTTCATTTATCCTCCCCCCAAAAAAATCCTTCAGGTACAGAGCCGAGCAACGGCAGGTATAACTGCTAGTTATAAATTTTAAAAATAACAATTATCTGCAATAATTATGCTGAAGAACAAGAAAATATGTCTTCAGTTGATAAGATATTCTTTGAAATAAAATGAAATATAATTCTGTGAATCTGACACTGTATTAAATAATGCAAAGGAGCATATAAAAAGAGTTTCTTATATTTTAGAAGATGATTGCCATTCCAGTGTAATTTCCTCATTTATTTTCAAGCATCACATATCTCCTGGCAAGTTTAGAGTTCAATATTCCTTACATACCAGTGGCCAAGTAGTCAGCTATAGGTTTACCATACATGCAGCTGACGTTACCAATAGAGACTATTGTACAGTATTATCTGATTCCCTGTCCTATTTAAATTGAGGGAATTACTGAGGCTGAATGTAGTTTAGTTGTCTTTGCTAAACACATTTCCTATTTTGCCTCCCCACTTACAGAAATTCTGGAAAACAAGTCACCGACAGTATGTTCAGTATAGGACTGACTTAGATGATATTTACTTTGCATCCATCAATTGAGAAGTGCTTCTTTAAAGGGGGCCCATTTATGTTAATCTATCCCAAATTATGGATTTTCTTCTGACATTCAGTTTTAAGTGCTTTTTTCATTTTATTCTTTTCAGATGTATATTTAATACAAACTCCTCCAACAAAGGCTTTTAAAGCTTCCAATTGTACAATTTTAGAACCTTCAATATTAGAGAGGAGATTGTGATATAAGAAAAATATGTCCCCAATCAATACATTAACTACTCCAAGAACAATACTTAAAAAAAGAAACTCTACATAAAAAATGGCCTAAGGAGATATTAAAGACAGTCAACATAAGGATACTTTTGTCTGAATTTTACCAACTTTTATTATAGCATACAATTATTCTTCTGTACTATTAATACACCTAAGATTACTAAAAGTGAAAAAGATTGGGGAGGGGGGAAATAAACTGACATATAGATTCAAATGTCAATACCTAAAGTAAGATTCCTAAATCAAAAGCCTGATTTTCAAATGTGCTGAACACACCCGTTCTTGACTTGAAGGGAATTTAAAAGTACTCAGCACTTCTAAAAATTAGGCCACTTCTATTCAAAGCCTTGATTCAGCAAAAGTTATTAAGTCCATCCTTGTTCAGGACATGATTCAACAAATCATCCATTAGCAAAGAACTTTAGCATATGCTTTTACTAAATTGGGTCAAGACTACCTACATATGGATTTTTCTAGATAGTTTACTAAATGCATTACCAGCACTTTCTTTACAGTTAATTTCATTGTGTAGTCCAGACACATTTCTTAGAACAATAATGTAATTTGTCTCAGAGTACAGGCAGTCCCCGGGTTACATTGGTCCGACTTATGTCGGACCCCTAATTACGAACCGGGGGGGGGGCCCGCTAGTGCGGGGTGCCTCCCCCACTGTCGCCGCCTCTGGTGGCGTGGGGGGCGCTTCCCCCTAGCAGACCAGGGAGATGCGGAGCTAGCGCGCCCCCCCCCAGCAGCCCAGGGCG